TCTGGGTGTATGGATACAGCATCACTAACCGCAATTACAGTCTGAATGTATGGATACAGCATCACTAACCGCAATTACAGTCTGGGTGTATGGATACAGCATCACTAACCGCAATTACAGTCTAAATGTATGGATACAACATCATTAACCACAATTACAATCTGAATGTATGGATACAGCATCACTAACCACAATTACAATCTGAATGTATGGATACAGCATCACTAACCACAATTACAGTCTGGGTGTATGGGTACAGCATCACTAACCACAATTACAGATTTGTGAAAAGGCTTGGCTTTTATCCTGTTTTTATTAAGAAGCAGTGCATCTTTTATTATTAATATGTCAATATTTAATCTTTTATAATGTTAACATAATGTGTGTTTTAATTTATTCATAGCAACATTTCCTGACATCCCATTGCAGGGTGTCTTTCTGGGCTTGCGTCCAGGCAGGTTCTGACCCTACACTGGACACACAGTTAGGGAAAAGGCATGGAAAATACCCTGAGCTATTTTGAATATGCTAGCAACAAACATGATTTTTTTACAATTGCTGAGCTGAAATAAGTATAATGAATATAATGCCATTAATCAGTCATTTAAATGTGAAACTTGGCCTATCGTTTAAAAAGAATTTTTATCTTTTATTATTTTTATTCTAATATTCCTTAGTATGGGAAAGGCTGAGCTGGTTAAAAATGAACCTGTTGGTCTAACTAAAGAGAACCTTTTCCTGGCAAAATAAATAACTCGCCAACATACAGAATGATACAACGATGGAGGTATGAAGAGCAGTTGGAATGAACTGGTGCAGTTAGAATCACCCGATTCCTGCCTAAGACACATGATGCCCCCCCCCTCCCCCTCCATACACACAGCCTCATAATCCATGTCATGTTAAAAAGGGATTCCTGCAGAAATTACAGAAGTAATAGTAGCACTCAGTCAGTATTAATTTTGAGTATTGCCTAGTTAATGGCTGTGCCAAGAAGCAGATGCCAACGACAACTGATAAAACTTTCTTTTAGCAATTATGTCACCCTAATATATTTGGCATATTCAGGATGGATTTTCTGTGAATTGGAACAGTTTAGGCTGTGGAGATTTCGAATGATCTAGCTTAGTGCTTTGATCAGGAGTGGAATGTGTAGCAAATAGTCTGTGGAATGAAAAAGAGAGGGATAGTCCCATCCAGGGAGGATTTCATTCCATTCTGGGAAAGGAATTGGTGCAGTCTTGTGTTAGCAGGCCATACCACCAAAGAAAGTTATTTTAATGCTACATTTCAGATTCGTTCTCGTGTGAAGATTTTTAATTTTTTTGTTTTGGTTTGTTTGCTTTTGTTTTTTCAGATTACTTCTAAGCAGATTGAAGATGTTTCAGTAACTGGGAAAACAACATATCTGTTTGTTTGCTTCTGAACATGACTCAGATAAAGAATGTTGCTGGGAGGAAAAATGAATATATTTTTTTTATTGGAGAGAAAGAGGTTTTCTTTCTAGGGGAACTTTTCAGGAGAGTGTTGCCGTGTTCCAGAGTCCAGACATGTAGTCATGACCAAGGTGCTTTCATTTAATACAGAAAGAACTTGATTACTTATGGTCAAATGGAGGCTTTATGTTGAGTGGAGGGAACTGCCCATCTGCTAATGGAGCTGGCGGATTGGATTAATATGCTAATGAGCACTGTAGCTCTGAGAGCTGTGGTATTGTTTGCCCAGTAATTTTTAAAGGAATCATAAAAATACAAAGAAAGATGGAGATATGGTGGATTTTTGCTGAACAAACATATGTCCCAACAGAAATAAGTGGGTTATTTTGATGTTAAATTCCTTTCAAGTCCAAAGCTAAATATCGGCTTCTTTATTAGGCAGTTATTATATGAAGATAAAACACTAATTCGGTGACAATTCCTGTATATGATTTTGTGGAAAATCTGTATATTACTGAATGCACTGGGAACTGGATGCCATGCACGAACAGGAAGAGTATGAGGTCGATTTTCAGCTAACAACCTGATTCTTAAAGCTGGAATTCATTCCTGGAGGGCCTGTGGATTTTCTGCAGTTTCATTGTGATGTCGGTTCACATTTTGTCTGAAGTTTATATGTCAGGTATGAGATGCTCATGACGTGATGCTGAAACCCTCACAGGACTAATTACTTAACTAGTTTTTTGGACTGAAAATCAATGTCGTTCAGCTTCTCCCTCCCCTACCATTACAGCTGTAAAGGAAGGCACGGAACTGAAATGATTCATGCTTCAAGTCTTCAGCTAGTGGGAGAACGAAAATCCTTTTCACCCTTATGACTAGAGAGCATGAAACAGCTTAACCACTGGGGTGTACTGTATGTGTGTAAATGCCATAATAACATCAGATTATGCTGACCTTCTCAGAACATCCAGACAGTAGCCTTATTGTAAAATAACAGTTTTCTCCAGGATTTTATTGCTTCCTGGTGGCACGCTGAAAATAATCAACGTGACCAAAGCAGATGGAGGAAGTTATACGTGCATGGCCAGAAACCAATTTGGGACTGCAAGCACCACTGGGAGGCTCCTGATCACAGGTGAGACCATGAAACTCCAGTAACTAGGTTCATTAAAGTGTAATTAAGAAAAATACATCTCAGAGCCATCCAGTCTCCCCATGCAGCTTCTTAGAACCATAAAGATCGGCAGTGCAGTTCTGCAACTAACAGTATCTGTTCAGTCAAACCAAAGGTTTATCTCAGGAGCAAATGATGCTATCTACTCAAACTGCTTGACCTCCTGTTGCATGGCAGCTGAATCCCGTGCAAGCGATCTAAAGCCACTTCCAGCACTTTTGTTCACCAGTGCCCCAGAACTGTTTTACGTACGATAATGGTGCACAGTGCCAATCCATGATTATGATAATCATTTACATTATAGCCATGGTTTTTGTTCCCTATATGTAAAGAGAAAGGATGTCTGATGCTGATATTTTGCAATTTCCGGCTCTTATGTTTCTCCACTCACTCACTAAGCATCAGTACGCATCATCTGTAATCTAATTTGACTTCATTAGCCTGACCTTTTACCCACCAGACCCCTATACTCCACTGCATTCACTGTTTTCCCCATTTATATCACACCATACTGGCTACAATTAACATTCTCCCTCTCGTTACATTCTGCCGAATTCTGCATTGCCAGGTAGTTTCCCACTGTTATGAACTAGCTTCTTGGTGCCATTATTCTTCTGTGTAGAGCCCACAAGAATCACCCAGGGACCTACGAACATGGAGATTATCGTGGGTGAAAGCATCGTGCTGCCCTGCCAGGTGACCAGTGACCCTGCCCTCGACGTCTCCTTCTCCTGGGTGTTTAACGGCCAGCTGGTTGACTTTCAGCAGGACAAGACTCACTTCGAGAGAGTAGGAGGGGTGAGTCAAGCAAGGACAACCTTTCTTTAATGTTTACCAAGTGGGCATGTAAGTGTTGCAAGTCTTCTCAGGAGAGAAAAAATGTTGTTTTGAAAGGAGACGGCATCAACAGCGATGATTGTTTGCCCCCCCCCCTCCTTTGATAACAGATCGACTGCGTCTGACCAAGGGCACTTAGGTGTACCTGTGAAATGATCGTTCGCTGTCTGTATTAAACAAATAAAGAACAATCATGATACTCTTCTACCTATTAAAGAAGACATGAGTCAGTCACTGTATGTCTGGCAGCTATAGGTTCAGGATAATTTACTAAATTGGTCAGTATATTTAAATTTTGAATTGTAAATGGGCTGCCTAGATAGGATTTCGCACCACGGACCAGATTTGATTTATGTATCTGTATTTATATATCGAAATATAAAGCTTCTGCCTGTATTCTTTCCACATGACTCTATACTAGACAGTTGATTGAATGATGATGACCATGTCTAATGGATTAATTAATTTGACTCAGCGGATTAAATACAATTAGACTTGAATTCAGGCCACTCTGTTGAATCTAAATCTCACCATATATTGGTCCTTGCTAGGCAAGAGTGGTGTTGTCACTGAAATTTTTCTGCAAGAACATTCCGCAATGATCAAAGGAAATTCCATGAGATGAGGAAAAAAGTTGTTGAAACTTGCCAATCAAGAAAGTGTTACTGAGCCCTTTCTAGGAGATTTCTCTGGGACAACACTGCACGACAGTGAGAGCGATTACCTCTAAATGGAGAACATTTGGAACAGTGGTAAATCTTCCCAGGAATGCCCAGCCTGCCAAAATTCCTCCAGGAGCTCAGTGATGACTCATTCAGGACTCCTCTAAAGATCCTAGAAAAACTTCCAATGAACTGCAGGCCTGTCAACCTTCAGCTAAGGTCAGTTCATGACTACATGATAAGACAGGGCCTTAAAATTAGTTTCTTGGGGAAGGATTAAGGTAGTACATCAATGCTATTTCAGAGAACCTAGATGATCCCAAATCCATTTGTAATAATGTTCTGAAATAATGACCAGAAGGATGAAAATGGACAACACAGGTCCCACAATGTCTGCTGTGAAGCAAATACAGAGCTCCACAGTAAGAATGTCATACAGTACCTGCAGTCGTAGATGGGCATGGGAGTGAGACGGTGTGGGGATGCTTTACTGCCTTAGGACTTGGGTGACTTGATCTCTGTCATTGTTGAAGAAACCATGACCGGGTGATCTGTCTGTTAACCTGAAGCCAAGGTGTAATTGGATTATGCAGAGGACAATGACCCAAAACTCAGAAGGAGTCTGCAACTAAATGGCTCAGAAGAAACGAAATTAAAGGTTTCTGATGGTCTGAACCCAATTGAGACACTGTGGCAAGACCTAAAACGAATGGTTCACGCATGAAAACTCACCAATGTGTCTGAATTAAAGTGTGGCCTAATGGATCTCAGCAGCCATTTAAAAAATATATATAAAATATATATTTATAGAAAGTATGCACTTAGTTGGAATTATTGTGGGTAAAGGTGCTGAAACCAAGTAATGAATCTAAGGAGGTAATTACTTTAATTTCTTTTTTCATGGATGGTTGGGGCATTGGCAGAGGTGGACATTTCATTGGTCGAAACAAAATCTTGGTCGGGATTTTTACTTTCTGGAACTGAAATTTCCACCTTTTGGCATTGGGTAACTTTGTTCCTTGAATAAAGGGAAAATTTTCAGACTATACTGTGTGTATACTCGTGGCCATCTTATTTAATATTATATTTTGTCTTAAGACATATAGCCATTCTTTGTGAAATTCTGCCAGGAAATCGGGTGGAGGGGGACTTTTTCACGGCACTGTAAACTCACTTATTCTTTCATATCTCAATAAACTGTATGTGTGATCAATGAGATGTTTCACAAGGGCAGCACCATCCAGTTTTCATATCCAGTTCCACAGCCTTCTGCAGTTGGACAGACAATCAGTCGTTTTCTTGCATCGCCTACAGAATGCATTATCATAAATTAAACCAGAGCAGCATCACACCACCTCAGCTGTCAGAAAGAGGAATTAGCTAGCTGTATATTTCTGCTAGTGCTCCATGGTCAGAGAGACACGTCGGCTGTGCATGTTTATCAAAGCTTTGTCGCCCGTGTTAAAGGTCTAGGGCTTCCCTGGAAGCAGCGACAACATGTGGGAAGCGCGGCCTTGTCTGATGATTAATTGAATCCGATACGGCTCAATGTTTTCAAGATTCTGAGAAGTCAGGCTGCAGCTATTAAGCGCTTTCGGACCACTTTTCTCTCACTGCCATGCTTGCTCTGAACCTGGCTGGAAAACAGGACATGACACACTAACAGTCTAACTGGCATGTGGACAAAGTAGCGTTGGGTTAAAGAGTTGCTTGAACTTCCCAGGTTCTCACCATCGAGCTGGCGGAGGCCCCCTTAGCTTGCCGTAATATCCAGCTGCTTTACTCAGAGACCTGCCTGTGTTACCGAAGCCTGCACAGCACAATTACGTCTTTACTGAAGCTGCGCACTAATCGCATCCATCCTATCTGATGAGCTAATTAAATTAATCTATTTTCCAAGTCTTGGTTTCATGGCTAGTTACTATGGATTACCGGTTAATATTGATTTTCTTGAATTTATTTATTGATATATTTAGAGTGAAAGCTTTTTTATTTTTTATTTATAGAACATGCATAATTAGAGGCATGTTCCTCATATGCCGTTTTTTTCTCCCATGAGTATCATTTGCTTTGGGTTGTTATAGCAATGGGGTACGGTGGGGGGGTGGTATGGGGTTGGTGCAGATGGGAGAATGCAGAGCCTCAAATGTTGGAAGTGGGAAAGTCAGAGCTGGAGTGCCCTACTGTGATAGCTTTGTCCTTCTCCGCTAATTCTTTTTCTTTTCATAGTTTTTATCTACCGTATTAAACGCTCATTAGGAGCTTTTTTTTCTGTTGTCCTTTAAAGTGGACCATTTGCAGAAGTCAAGCTAGAGATTTATTAACATTGTTTTTTTCCTGCAGAATCTTTACGATTGCCTGTTTTAAATGCTGTTGGCACGCTCTCCCTGAAAAGTATTTTTAGTGCTCCAGCAGTAGCTGAGTGGTTAGATGTCGATTTTACGAAAACCAACCCTCAGACTCACACAGACACACGCAGAGTCACATTCTCCTGCCCTGAGACATGTTTAATTGTGGAACCTCACAGATTTTTGCGGGGGATCTGATGATCCGGAATATCCAGCTTGGTCACGCTGGGAAGTACATCTGCATCGTGGATACGGATGTGGAGAGTCTGTCAGCTGCCGCCGTTCTCATGGTGAAAGGTAAGGGAAGCAGCAGCACCTGGCACAAGCAAACTGTAACGTATTCAGAGGCAAGACTCCGAAGCTTGTTGTAATTCTAAGAAATTCAGTGAGTCACAGTTTGACTTAGAAAGTTAAAGCTGGAATGAGGTGGTCACCTGGTGCATAATCCCACATATTAATATATCACAATAAGAAACCTTACTTACCCATCATTACATCAGTGCAACATGCAAGCTACTTCTGCTTTATTCCAGACCAACCATCTTTGTTTAATAATTCAACCCCCACTGCCGTCCTCTACGTGAAATACTCATGCTAAGTCCACTTAGCAATGCTTATCATGTGCTTCTTCTTTGTTTAAACTGTCATGCTTTCTTGTTACCAACCCAACACATGGCAATATACTAGAAGTAGAGGGTTTTCTCAATTTCAATCAAATTGCGGTTTTTTTTCTTGACAATTCATTCCGGATATAGTTCAGTCTTCATTAAAGATGATGTCACCTTACGTTTGCTTGACAGAATGCCATATTTATTTACAGATCTTCCTAACTCTTACAGACCATTAAGCACCAACAAGAAACAGATTACTCTCTATGGATTTAAAGCATTCAAAGTATATCGTTAAATCTGAGGAAATACAGTTAGGTTTTTTTTTTCTAAATGTCATGAATGGACATCTCTGACGTAAAACTACAGATCAATGTAAGTCAAGAAGGAGGTGCAATTGCCACAGAATGCAATATAAAACTTTTTGGCAATAAATAACAGGAAGCAGCAGGAATGGAAAGAGCATTTAAGCTGTAGTTTTAGTTGTCAGGAAATCTGCACCTTATATGCAGACGAGATGCTTGCGAGATGTCCACACCCTTCCATCTGCAAATGCATTGTATATTTGTCAGCTCTGCACAGAACATAACATTGAAAAAATGACAGGTTTCGATCCTTGGTAGTGGATTTAGATCAGTGGCCTGTACTACGAAGCAGAGTTACTGGCTAAATGGACTTAATTCGTTCACTTACATTTTGCCCAGACTACCTTAAATCCGAGAAGTTACCCCAATAAGGCAGTAACCCCGCTTCGTAGTACAGGTCCCTGGTTATGTAGGCAGGGCTGAGGCGAGCTCTAACTTTGCTAAATGCCCGGTTGAGTTAGGTCCCCCCGGGCCGCCAAGTGCAGTAACAGTGGAGGAGATTACGGACAGCACAGCCCAGCTCTCCTGGATGTCAGGCAGGGACAACTACAGCCCCATCAAAGGCTATGTCATCCAAGGGAGGACTGCCTTCACTTTGGGATGGCAAGCCTTGGACACAGGTAACTCTCTGGATGCAAACACCCCTAAAGTCACAATGACAGGGGCAAAACACACAGCAGTATAGCCAATGTGTACACATAGATAACCTTTAGCATCAGCTTGTAAGCAGCTTGGACATTTCAGGTCCAGACAAAGATTGTGTTTCTCACAACCAGCTGAGCATAAAGAGTCACAGTTACTTGCCTGGGTGTTAGAAACAAAATCCTGCTCTGTATTTGTAGCTTCTGGACCAGAAATGCCCAACACTGCATTTAAGATGTCCAGTACCTGGTTCTTCTAATATAACTGACTTCCAGCATGTACCAACCAGCACCTGACTGGGTGGGACTGACTGAGTATACATTCCAGTGAACTAGTTGCATTTGGCCAGTAAAACATCTTCCTCACTTTGTTTAATTATTTTTTTTTAAATCCTGTTCCATGTTGTTCTGAAAGATGTTGGCAGTCGCCTGATCTGTCCCCTGACCTTATCTCCAGTCCCAGAGGTCATTTTTGGCAACACCCTGACAGCCACCGTAGTGGGCCTCAACGCCTGGGTGGAGTATGAGTTTCGTGTGGTGTCCAGTAATGCCGTGGGGGTGGGAGAGCCGAGCCCCCCATCCGCCAAGACCCGAACCGAGGATGCCGGTAAGTCAAAGTCTCTCCATTGTTTCCAAAAATAATATGATTTTTTTGTGTATTTCTGTTTCTTAATCCATTACTTATTTCATTACAAAGCTGGATGAGGAGCTTGCTCTGATAAAAAATCGTAATAGCTTTCTGTTGCGTTTTGTGCAACATATATTACATTACTAAGTTTTGAAATTAGTGTCAGGCAAAAACAAACAAACAGCCACTTGATGTGAAAGGAGTGTGTGTCCGGCAAAGCCAATCTAACATCTGTTCCCGCCTTGGTTACGGCACGCAGTCCCTGACACCCCCCCGACTGACATCGGAGGTGGAGGCGGCACCCAGTCTGAGCTGGTGATAACCTGGGAGGTAAGCCATCGGTCACGCGTCACTCATCCTTTGGTGCTCGGATAATGTCGTGGCTTAATGGCGTCGAACGGCATGGGCCGTTTTATCACCACGGCCAAAGACCGCCGATCTCTCCCCTCAACCCATTAGGCCCCATAAGGTCCCCTGAGTGTGATTTAGTGTCAGGATATTGAGTGTTTCAATTAAAAGCAGGACGTGGCGTCAATAGATACTATAGCTTTGCCACCAGCCTCCAGCAGGACCCTCACGCTTGCGTCGCGCACACGCATGCCAAGTGAGGCCATGGGAATAAAAGCAGATTCAAAGGAGAGAGAGACATGCAATTACTCCACAGCTGACGGTACTGCATTTAAGCCTCTTTCTCTGAAAGGTGACAGGTAACATTTTTCGGTTTAGAATAAGGGTGGACAGTTTCCTCCCACTTCTTCCTGCTCTTCTGCACCTTGTGGCTTCTGACGCATCGGTTCAGGATTCTAATCAGTTTGCCAGGAATTCAAAGCGACCAGTACTGGGTGTATGGGTGTAGAGAGTAGTAGCATCCCCTTCAGCCTGCAGAAATAGTACCCCAACTTTTACGCAGCTTGACAAGTGAAACCTGCCAGAGAACTTTCTGTGTCATTATCTGTGGACTCCAACTAGCCGTTAACACGTGTCGTGCATATTTCACTCACTGATGTCTTTAACAATGTCAGATTTTTTTGTTGATCTAAGTGTTCCTTTTTCAAGGGGAACAAAACTTTAAAAAGTATAAATAAAGGTTTCATACAGAGAATGCCGGAACTGTAATATTAGATATAACCTCAGGCAGAGGACAAATCTGGATCACTGTTTATCCGTCGGTGAGAGACAAAAGCCACCCAAACGATGTTCTGGGACTGATGGTCTTTTATTCTGCTTATAGGTGCTGATGATCCTCACTTAATGCAATTTGAGCCGCTTCACTGAAATTTTAAATGTAAAATATTTTAGTCAAATAGTCCTATGATAATGGTAGTACCCTTAATTACAGTCTAATCTGGGATGTTTGGGGTCCCTGTTAATGTTCTGCGCACATGTGTACTAAGTATGTAAAAGGTTCATGTGACACATATTTCTGCATGATCTGCATTCTAAGGTATGGACTGAGGGTCTACGAAGGGGGGACAGATTCTCTGCATCTTTGTTTTGTATGTGTTTTAATATCACTACAGTTTTGTGTTTCGCTCCCAGCCTGTGCCAGAAGAACTGCAAAACGGGGACGGTTTCGGTTACATCATCGCGTTCCGGCCAGTGGGCGGGGCCACCTGGACGCGCGCCATCATATCCACGCCAGAGGTGGCCCGCTACGTCTACAGGAATGACAGCATCCCACCGTTCTTCCCCTTTGACGTGAAGGTGGGGGCCTTCAACAAAAGAGGGGAGGGGCCCTTCAGTTCCATAACCACCGTCTTCTCGGCAGAGGAAGGTGAGCCGGCAGGCCGTGGCGACCGCCAATGCGAAGAACACGCAGCTGTATTTACATGCATTTTCACATCCCGCGGTGAAGATGTCAGCCGCCCCCCCTCCCCCAGTACACAGAGCCCCGGGGTTGTGCGCGTAGCGCTCAGTGTGCTGCAGCCTTAATTGAATGTGTCATCGTGATAACATTGTTACACGCCAGCCCTGGGTCCCATTAGAGAGGGAGGGACATGTTGACCGTTTGTAGGGGGGAGGCATGAGGCTTACTGGGCTGCTGCTTGCCACCGTGATGACACCGGATAAATCAGCAGAGCTGTACCCCCCCCCCCCCCCCGTCCCTCTCGCCCCCATTCAGAGCCCAGCGTGACGCCCGGGGGGGTTCTGGCCAGGAGTGTTTCCGCATCGCAGATTGAAGTCAGCTGGCGGCCACTTGCCTCTGCCCCCGAGAGAGTCCTCGGATACGAGGTACCCAAGCTGTTTGGAGGTGAAGTTTATCTCCCGAGCCTGGGGGAGCGCAGCGCCTTCCCCATTCCCGGGCAGACAGGTGCAGCTGCCCCCTCCAGCCCCTTAGGCTCCAGGTCCCATCCAGAATTAGGCCATGATACATGATTTGTTATTTTCCTGGGGAAGCTCAGGATCACAGGTCTTGTAGGACATACAGTAGTGGGCAGGTAGTAACAGTCACACACACACACACACACACACACACACACACACACACACACACACACAGCAGCCAAAGCACACATTTATAATTCTTGAAATGAATTAAAATTACAATGGAAATGAGAGCATGCTGGTAGAGAGGTCTCTCAGGACCAAAAGCTCAGCGCTGAATGAGGTACTTTATAGTCATAGAGATTAGATGCATTTATCAAATGCTATTACTACTTCAGTTCCACGTTACATTTATTTTTTCCAGCCGGAGACACAGCCGTGCCCCCTTCTGTGACATGTCCTTTTTGATATCAGTTAAGCGCATTTTCCTGTGGGAAAATGACTGGAATGATGAAGAATTTGATTTTTACACCTGTGTAGCCAAGGAGCGGCTGCACGGCAGCCTTAGAAGCTGGACGGCGAGGGCCGCAGCCGGCCGCGGCTCCAATTGATTCCTGATGGAGCGTAAGGAGTTTCCTTTAGCCTGCACCTGCGCACACTGTAATGATTGTCAGGCGCATACGGACGCGGCGCTCTCTGAATACCGACATGCCCCCGGGCCCCATCCAGCCCTGAAAGGCCGCAGAGTGACACACATGGTCATCCATCTTACGAGTGAAAAGAGCACCCCGTATGTTCACTATTCAATCATCTCTTCACAAAGCCAGTGCCAAAGCAGTGCACTGCCGTAACAGTGGCAAGGCAACAGCACTGGAATAATAGTGCCGTCGGAGATGGTCTTTGCATAAAGCACTTAGAGTGTCTTTGATGTGTCACTTGTTTGATTAAATAGTGCCTTTGTTTCTGTACGCCGCGTTTTTAATTGCGCTTGTGATTACTAAGAACTGTATATATAATGATGTTGAAGACTTTCTCTTAAATAGATTATTAATAACTATGGAGAGGGATGACAGAGTTATCCATCCTGCAGTGATTGTTTCTGTGCCTTGTCCCCCCGCGATGTGCCGAGCAGGTGACGTACTGGGAAGACGACACCAAGCCCGATACGGTGGGGAAGGTGAGGGTGTTCGGGAACCAGAGCTCCGTTAACATCAGTGCCCTAACTGGAAACAGTCAATATTTCCTGACGGTGAGCGCGTTCAACACGGCCGGGACTGGGCCGGCCTCTCCGTCTGTCAACGCCACTACAAAGAAGGCGTGTGAGTGTCCTCAGCAGCCCGTCCTCACGCCATCTATCCTCAGGGCCGTGGCACCGAACTAAGTAATGAAAAATCTGAAATTATTTTTTGTACACTCTAATAGCCCAAATTTAAAAAGTATTGCGCACCTTAAATATTGACTATATATTTCACTGGGATCCTCTTATAAAAAGAAATTCCACTGCGCAAATTCCAATGAGCAAAATGTTTAAAAAAGGTAATAAGGAAAATAATAAAAAAGCATCAAAAAATTTAAACATGAAACCAAATATAAGTCATTATACTGTGCTGCTAAAAGAAATCATGCAGTCTTGGGAAATGAATCAGTAGCAGCAGCAAACCATGAAAGAAAAATATGAATTTGGATATTCCTGTGTGAGGAGCCAACCAAAGCACAGCGACTCCTCCTCCTAAGACATGCATCCATGGGTCCGCAAGCAAAGCCCTGCTGCAAAATAATAAAACAGCAATATTATATGTCATGTTTCTTGTAACAGAGGTGATGAAATCCCAGTTACCTGTAGTACAAATTCATACAAAAGCAGATATAAAGCATGTTTCTGGGACCCTGTCTATTTTGTATGCATATTTTTCTGTATATCAGTGAGCAATTGGGGAGATTTCGCACTCAGTAACCAGAGCGTCTGCTTTAGCAGGAAGTCGGCATCAGCCCTTTCACTCTCTGCTTCAGTTGTCTTTAAGAAAAGAAGACTAATGTCCCAAGAACCTATTACTCTTAATGAAGCGTTACATTAAAAGGCACCTCTCCATCCTGTGAGTCCTAATCTACACCACATCACTAAGTTATCCCAACTTGGCTGCACAAATTCTACAAATGAAAAGGCAAACACATTCCCCAAAAGTGTTAGCAATACAGTTTCCTGTCAGAGATATGGGACATCAGATGTTAATGTAGAATGTAAACTTGGTTGCATGTTGCATGCTGTGTTTGGATGTGTAAATCGTAGAGGTAGAGTGACATGCTTTGGATGCCTGCCTCTCTTTCTCTCTGTCTCTCTTTCTCTGTCTGCCTCTCTCTGTCTCTGTCTGCCCCTCTCTCTCACTCTCTGTCTCTCTTTCTCTGTCTGCCTCTCTCTCTCTGTCTGCCTCTCTCTGTCTCTGTCTGCCCCCCTCTCTCTCTGTCTCTCTTTCTCTGTCTGCCTCTCTCTCTCTGTCTGCCCCTCTCTCTCTCTGTCTCTCTTTCTCTGTCTGCCTCTCTCTCTCTCTGTCTCTCTTTCTCTGTCTGCCTCTCTCTCTCTGTCTGCCCCTCTCTCTCTCTGTCTCTCTCTCTCTGTCTGCCTCTCTCTCTGTCTGCCTCTCTCTCTGTCTGCCTCTCTCTGTCTCTGTCTCTCTCTCTCTGTCTGCCTGTCTCTGCCTCAGCCCCAGCACAGCCCCCCATGAACGTGGAGTGGACGCTGATTGGCGCCCAGCTCACCCTGCACTGGGACCCAGTGGTCGCTATGGAGACAGAGTCAGAAGTCACAGGATACCAGGTAAGCACCAGATTTAGGTTTCTCTCCTACTCCCGAGTTAGGGTGTGGTTAGTTGCCCTATAATATTCTTCTGTTGTAAATTGGCAGATTGCCTTGGCCAGCTTATAGGGAACCAAGACAGTAAACTGAGGGGCAACTTTGGGTTTCCATCGTGAACATCTGGGAATCACGGCTAAGAAGGGGGCTTTTTCTTGCAAACAGGTGTCATATCGAAGACACAGACACGGTGAAGTAAAGACCTTTATGACAAACAAGACTACAGCAGAGCTGACCCTGCCAGCCAATGATGACTATCTCATCCAGGTCAGGGTGCTAAGCGAAGGAGGAGAAGGTGCTGCCACAGAACCCATCCGAATTCACAGACTGAGTAAGTCCTTTCACCCTTTACTTAACAGGAATTAGTCATTGAGGCATTTTGGGGTCTCATTTATCAACTGTGCATTTGAACAGTTTTGTCCATACACCATCTGTATGCACATTTTTACACACAGAACGGTGTTTATCAATTTCTTCCTGTGCGTAGAACTGTGCATATATTTACGAACACTGCCGCCCGTGCGTACGCACAAACCCCTAGTGGCAGAGAAGCATAACTGAAGCAAACTGATCGGCACATAGGATATGCAGGAAACTCCATTTAATTATAAAACTTGATAGATTGAGAAGTAGAATTATCTAGTTGTGTTCACACAAAGTATGTACAGGTAGCTCATGTCCATGATGAGGGATCGTTCGGAAGTCATATCAGGTCCATAGCCAAAGAAATAATGTCACTTTTACTAAATACAGTCTAATGCTGAGATGCACCTGACTGAGGCACATCCGATTACATTTATGTCCGAGATCCCTAGTACACAATGCAGAGAGAGACGTCTCACAGCAGATGTAGTAGGAGGTCAGCGGGTGTATCGCTTAGTGTGACAGGTGCAGGACAATGGGCAGCACCCACAGCCCTATGATGACTTGCTGTCCATATCTAACTTGCCAAACAATATTTTTTTAGTTTTTTTTTTTGTATTATGTCCAGCAGAACTTCCATCTCATTCATGGTAATGTTTGGTTTTCCCTCCTCTGTAAGTTTTTTTTTATTTTATTTTATTCCTCAATAGCAAAATACAGTTACTAAATAACAATACAAGCATAAAGTGCATAATATATTTCAATCAGGAATAAGGAGATAAGGATATATGTCTCTTTAGAGATGTAATTTATGCAAAACATTGCAGGGTTCAGCATGTATTATGTGAAAGTTATATGCCCATAAATGGATCATTGTGTGCGTTTCTTTATTTAAAATAGGCTTGCCGTGCACATACAGTCACATTTAGAATGTGTGAGATTTATCAACCTTCACTTAGTACAGCTGTTCACACACACGGGTGATAAATACCCATTTGCCTGTGCATACCGGCGGCTTGTAGGCACACATTTAGGGATTGTTTTACGCACCCTTTGATAAATTACACCTCTGGTCTTCTATGAAAATCTGTATGCAGAGCAACCCACCTTAGAATACAGCAACTCCTTGGGGAATAAAAAAAACCCAGGATGCATTGTGGGATGTGGCCAATAGCTTGTGGCTCCTCGATAAAGGACATCCAATGGAATCGTGAAGGTCATTTTTACTGACAATATGGAAAAAATAGCACAATATTAGTGGCTCTATTTTATTTTATTTTTTTCCAGAAAAAAAATAATTTTCGTGTATTTCTTTTGAAATAACTTTTAAATGATGTTGACTGTGGTTATAGGTATGAGTGCTCGGGGGTCAGGAACGCAGCGCCCAGATAACAGTCCCCCGTCTCTGGCCGTGGCCTTTGTATTGTCCACCTTCTGCTCATCGCTATGGTGACTCAAACTCCGTCCAGCACAGCGCTGTCGAAGATTTACTGGAGGAGCCCTTATCCCTCTTCAGGGGGATCAGTATGGATGCGTGACTATCTCCTGCAGAATCTTCTGGGAAACCTGGCAGCGAGCATGACCGAGAGGGGTAATCCATACTGTAAACACGAGGCAAAGAGGGAATTATGAGTTTGGATTTGTGTGCATGCAGTTTTCCTGCTTATCATTGTGGGGCACAAGTGCCGTTCGACTGTGGAGCCGTCCCAGGATATTTGTATACATATTTTCACGAGGGAGCACATGTGTACCTGTTACTTAGTTATTAACCCCAACAATCCTTGAAAAATGATGAAATGCCTTAATTGCATTTACATACCAAAGTAGGTCAACACATACTTGATAAATGTATCATATTTGCTCACACTAGTAACACGCTAGTCTTAGTTTCTCCATTTTTAAATTACTCATTATAAATGCTTTTGTGATATATATTTTTTTGTTTCATTGAAAAAAAAGCCAGAAGCCAGTACTGTTGGAAACTGGGGGGGGGGGTGTTATCATGGGTCCAGCTACATCGGGCTGCCTGCTACCGGTGAACATGGGTGATGGAAACATTTTCTTAGGCTGGGGCTATATTACATTTCTCTGTCATTCCCACCTTACAAAGCTTTGCTTTCATTGTCTCGAGTGCTCGAATGTTTGCATTTTTATTGTGAAAGAGTTGTGTCAACATATGCACTTGTGTGTCTGTGAAGTTGTGCTCATTGACTGAGAAAAAAAGTAAAGAAAGAGGGCTAGATTTACGCAATTCCACCAGTGCCTCTCTGAAAACACACGCTCCATTACCCACAGTCATTAAAGTCCATGTGTCTCGTGAGACTGGCACAGCCTCTAGTGAAGGACTATGCTCCCTAGGGTACAGTAGATGTCATGCTTTGCTATTATTAATTTACATATACCCAAAATTATTACCTGTGCACATTTGTATTATATTCTTCAGTGGATGGGATGTTCGTAGAGAAACAGCTTGGTTTCACGATCAAGCAAAGCACGTTTACAGAAAGGGCGTGTCGAGCAAGAAAGTAAGATCCAATCAAAGGGTTAGGCAGGTCGACCTGAATGCAACGATACTGGGCGCAGAGTGGTATGGTGGGACTGCCGCACTGGACCCAGTTTGCTGAAGGGCTGGAGACCAGCGAGCAAGATGTGGAGCAGCTGGCTTGCAGGCAGGCTTTGAGATGACGGAGTGTGCATCTTCTCAACCCTTAGAGCGCTTCACCTCAGCACAAGAATAATACAGATTGGAATTACTTGAAATCCATCTGGTGGTCTGATATGTGGCGTGATTTAGGAGCTAAACGGACATCTAAATAAATCACGGCTTGCTGAACGGGATCTGATGAGTAGAGGTGTGGAATAATGGTTGTCAGATCAGCAGTAGAAGATTAATGGATTGTCACTATCAAACAGTGCTGTACCACGACTGTGCCCGGAGATTTTTATTTGTATATAATATTTTATTTATTTTTATCTCTCTGTCATTCTAAAGGCCGCAGGTCTGCTTGTGAAGCGTCTCGTGGTTTGTTTACATGAAGGACACCCAATTTGTATAAGGAAAAAAATTCATTCTGTGCTGACTTGGTTGCTTGTAACTGGAGAGGAGTGAGGGATAGGTTTGCTTCAGGGTCTTACAGAACAGCCCCCCCCCCCCACCACCACCATCACAAGTTATTTTAAAGGAGTGAAACAAACCAAGCGAGCCAAGCTCCCCATCCTTTTGCATAGACTGTGGAAGCAGAGCCTTAAGCCCAGAGACCCACTGCATTTCCTCTGCCCTTGGTGTCACCCTCAGGTCTGTGTTCAGCCATTAAATTCTGCTGTATCCAGATAAATAACAAATTGATTTTTCCATCACAGCATAACGGCTGTCGTAACTAAGAATGAGCACGACTCACTGCTGTTAGTCCCAGTTCTTTTAACATATGAAACATCCTGCTGGTACATTATTGTGAATCATCAAACAAGTGATCAGAAGTTAAAATCACCTTTGTCTAACCATTGGAGATGTTCATTTAAAAGTAAGATTGCTGACGGCTGCACAAGTGCTATTTCGAAATGTTTTATTGGTAAAAAAAAAAAATGAACTGCATTGCTATTGTAATTACATTATTGCTATTTAATTGATAAGCTTTTTAGTAAACTGTCAGTACAGAAACCTTAACAGGTTATGGTCCTTGTCTTTGTATTTACTTTTATATTTACATATCTATTGAAAGGTCAAATGTTGTACTAAAGGAAAATATTTCTTTTAATTATCAATGTTACTTATCATTATTATTTATTACCATTATTTTTTATAATATACAAACATACATTTCTTTTACATGCCTTGGTTCTTTATCATAAAAGTTGTATTTTTCCCCCTGTCTTTCTAGGGCAGTGATAGTACAGTAAAATTCTTGAGGGCAGTTTACACTAAAGGACAAGTGTGACTTGATGTTGGAGTTAGTAGGACTATTAAAACAGAAGAATGTAGTTTAAGCACTTTGTTATTTTCAATGGAATGTGCCTGTCACTTTTTATTGTAATAATGCCTGTTTTTGTAATTTTTTTTAGTATTCAATATTGTGTTTTAATAATGCAATCCCTGTTATACATTTATTAAGAGCGAATTAGCTTTATGTTTAGTCTGATGAGCTCATTTGAAAAGGCTTAATTAATCATGTGTCAGCCCGGAAATTTGCATCCCCAAACATAGACAGTTTTACCCACAAGGAAAAACATGTGTACGTAAAATTTGTAAAATATATATATTTTGTACTATCCGCAGTTCCAAAAGCCTGTCAGATTCTTTTGATCAGACATGGTTTACCAACGCAAGACGTGAGTCTATTTTTCTTTACAACATTTGTCCTTTGCCTTTAATACTACCACTGCGTTAATGAAATGGTTTTGTGATCTCAATGAGATGGCTGTGTAAAACAGTACAGTTTTCATATTGAAAAACAGTGAGCTCATCTTGTGTTCTGAAGCTCTGCATGTAGGTTCTTTGGTGCATTTGTGTAAAGTTTTATATTAAAAAAAAAAAAATTAAAAATGAGGATGCTATGTTTGGGTATTTTTTACATCGGTGTATGTGTTTTGCTAGGTTTCAGAGAAGCAACATTTTCAAAAACAAAATGTGACATTGTAATGCAAGATTACTCAAATTCATTGATTAGTGAGGTTAGTCCTCAAAAAAAAAAAACAACAACACAGTTTACATTCACCTCACAATCATTAACACAATTAATATGTAGCTTTTTACTGACCTTCTTGTCACATAAAAGATTTGTGAGCCAATAGAATTTACACAGCAGTAACTCTAGAAACCTGGTAACATTGGAGCACTCTGTCGATAGAGAAGCAAGCAAGAAAGGTGATGCTAATGAAGCCAGACGTAGCTCCATTACAAGGTGTAACACAAGGTAGATGCGGGGAGTCTTCAGGAGGGTTGTCTTGTTGTGAGGAAGATGTTTGGGATTTCATTATATATCAAGTTCAGTTGTTTGCATAGATTTCAAGGAGTCTTTCCTTAGTCTGCCAAATAAGCGATGCTGGCAACATTGTCCACAATGATTTGTTTATATTCCAAGAGCTTGATTCCTTGTTGTGATCTCTCAAAATACTTGCAAAGTGGTAACTATGCCAAGAGTTTCTAAGCCAAGAACTTCTCAGAGCAGTGTTTACACCGAATGTAAGTTTTTTTCTTCGGCTAAGAAATTTACCATACTATGTCAAGTCAGTGGATACTGGCTATTTACATGGCTAGTTTTTCAGATACAGATTTGGCAAAGGTGTGGGAATAACAGAAACATCTGATTTCATAGACATGCCATACTATAATCTAATAGATATACAAAATTCCAGTCCAACAGGGCAATGCATTTGTAAATCAGCAGTAGCCCATCTTTTACATTTTGTATGTGTAACCTGCTGATTTGAATTTGGAAAAAAATCAAAATGGAATGCAATTACAGTGTGTAGATCATACATCTATATGGAGTCTCTTCACCATACTTCATATAATGTCAGAAATTGCATTTTTACAAAATTAAAACTTTATTTAAGATTTTTTGCACAATGTGTAGCTCTCAATTGAATAATAGCATGGTCAACTTTTCTGTGATTAATTACATCTAAAACTTTGTTCTGGCTAATTGACTTTCCTGCCATAGTGCATTAAATGAAATGATTTTCAGTGGCATTGTCCAGAAAACCTGAGAGGAAATTCTCACAAGAAGCTCTATTTGATGTGATGAAGTATGTGTCTGGTGAGCAAGACTCACGTAGGTACAGGGTATTAAACAAGCAAGGTACTATGCTGCCAGTATCTCACTGTAAATGCTGTAGAATTTACTATCAAGTTCAAAAGCAAGCCTACATCTTCTTGTGTATGTCTACGTCCAGAAAAGGGTCCTGGCTTGAATTCTTCTTTTATTGTTGAAATAGTTACTGTTAGTTGCCCATTTTGTTTACAAGCCCAGACCTACAGTACATGATGACTCAAACTATTTGTCTAGAAGATCTGTCTGCTTTCTGACTATATACGATGATATACTTATCTGTTGCCACCAAGGAAAATCTGATCCCGAGCTTACAAAATCAATACTGCATTTTTCCCTCAGCATTCCTAAATTCAATCGTCATTTATCGATGAGCCAGCTTATGACTGCATTTGTTAAGCAGTGTCATCAACTGACACAAACGTTTGGCATTTTGCCACACAAGTCAAGTACAATCAAGTAAAATACTGTTAAATTGTCTTTCTAGCCATTGTGTATCAGCATTAGGATAAAGTAATTGCATGGGGATTGTGTCAGCACTCATGTTCCCATGGCAACTCATTACCAGTCCCAGATGCCTGTGTTAATGAAACCCATCTAGCCCTGATTGGACTAAGCTCATTAGGGCCTTACCATGGGTCAGATGGATGGATTGGATGCTGCTGGAGATCAGCTGAGGGACCCATTGAGGTCCATCCTCCAGAATTGCAGTGTTCTTGAATTTTGTTTAGTGTATTTCAGAGGATATTTTAGCTGTCTTCTCAGCATATTACATTTTGCATCATCATTTCAAATAATAAAGACCCTTTTTTCATTCGAATCTTGACTTTGTCATGGTATAAATGTGTTTTGTCTTGATTTTTAACAAAGTAACAAACAAGCAGATTCACCCCAGAACTTTGGTAATACAGGTTTTGTGGGACCATTCAAAATCAATATTTCCTAATACACTTGCAACACTTTCTGACTGCATATTTGCTAGAAACAATTAATTGATAGACAGACAGACAGACAGACAGACAATAAAAAAACAGACAAAATTTGTATTTAATTTAATATGTTTTAATTAAAGTATGAATGTGGTCAAGTAACTTACTTTTATTCCTATTACTATGAGCTTGAACACATCTGATCATACAGTATACTATGGTCAAGGGTTAAAGCTGTGATAAGACTCAATATATGACTGTTGGTTTACAGTATAGTGTAATAAGTGTTAATAAGCATGTACCTTGCCGTTGCATTGAACCAGTTAAACCATTTGAGGCAGCACCCTGTTGTTACACAGATAAGCAGGCACCGCTTATTGTTTTTTTTTTTTTTTTGTTAGAGAAATGGAGAGTTTGAATTCTTCTGTCACATACAATGATAAGTAGGTGTTATTCTGTAATGGACATTTTGAACCAATATGAATAGATTGAAAGATTGCCCAAATCACTGGACTATAACCTAATTTGGATTAATAAGTTTGTTTTAAGTCTGATAAATAACCCCCAAATAATATGCTTCACTGCTTCTACCTAAAACAGATTCCTTGTAGATGGAACAAGTGACTTTCATTCAATATTACCCAGAAAATCTGTATTCACTGTTTATTTCATGCATGTTACAGACACATTTCTTCAAAATATGTATGTGCAGCATAGCAGCTTGTTAATTCACTAGCCTGCCAACCACGTGATGGTACAGTTAGCAATTTGGTTCAGCAACAAATACAGTTTTATTTCTCACATGCAGCAAATATAATCTCACTGCATTAAGCTGTACTGCTTATGAAAATAAAAGCTTATTAAGATTCTATTTGATTTTTCAAACAAAGTTTTTTAGTCAATTGTAATTAACAGAATACAAATGTATAGAAGCGATGTTAAAATATATTATTTAAAAGTATGGTATAAATAGTGACCGGAAAAAGTTCACAGTCACACAACGGAGGTGGTCACTCAATTTCTGGCATGTTATTTGTTCTGTGCTTGCCACCATCAATGTGAAAAGAATGCTATTTTTCCTTAGGAACATCCATGAAGTTTGCATAGACTAATGCCAGAAATCTCTGCCAATGTTAAGGCGTAATTGCAAGTAATTGATCTTGACCATACTTGTCACTGTTTGACTAGAGGGGAACGTCAGTGTGTAGCACTGCAGCCTGACCTGAGTGACCCTCCCAGCCTAGATGCTCAGCTCCTGGCCCAGGCTCAGTGAGTGTGCAGTTTCCGTGTTTGAATCGGCATGTATGAATTGTGCATTGTTTGTGATTGTGTGTGTGAGTGCATGCTTACGTCAGACTGCCTTCCCATCCAGAACGTCCCCTGGGATGGACTCCAGGCTCATTAAAACCATACTGGATAAGCTCTATGGAAAATGGATGGATGGAACTTCAATTGAATAATTCAATTGCAGTAATGAATGAACAGAAGGGTAGCCCAGTGGCTATGGCTGTGAACTCACTCCACTGGTGCACGGGTTTGATTCCAGCCTCCTGTTTTAATTTTGCACCTTTATCCTGTTGTTGTGTAAGTTCACTGGCTGCTCTGCAAAAACCCACAGACATGGCTTAAGTAGAGTAGTGATATCTCTAAATTGCCCTTAGTATATGTGTGTGCCCAGTGGTATTCAGGACATTCCCCGCCTTGTCTCCAGTGCCTCCGATTACAGTCTCCAGGCTGACTGCCACACAGCATTCAATAAGCAGTTATTCAATGTGAATAGATACGTGGGTAGAAATATATAGTCATTTCTTTTGTCATTGTTGTTGTTATGCACGTACCCTGACTAATGAGAAGCTCTATGGTCTATTGACACTGCAAGCCATTCAAAAATTATTGAACTGACTGATTGAACTGTTTCCACTGTTTACATCTTCTTTATCTGGGGATTTTTTTTTGCTCTACTTGGAGAGCCATGAAGATCTGCTGTTTGAACATTTGAACTTGTTTACTCTTCTATCCATCAAATTAATGCAAATCCAGGGATATTTTGACATTGCCCCCACCCCCCATACTCAGAAACCGACATTTACCATTATATCATATTTATAATATACCATTCACTCATTTTAACATTATTATTTAAAGTTCAGCAGTGCAATAAATGGAGCTCCTATTCAGCTACATTTTTTGACTCTCTGAGGACATTTGTGCGATGAACTGGATCTGGGTCCATGTGCTGGTCCTGTTCCATATCCGTTTACTGAGGCACAAAACAGTACAAAAATCTAAATCAGAAAAACAGGCAGGGGTCGTAATGAGATCAGAGAGCAGATTTCTAAAACCAAATCTTACTTAACAAATCTGTTGGAGTTTATTGAGGAAGCTACTCAGGAAGTTGATGATAAGAAGGCCTATGATGTCATCTAGTTAGATTTCCA